TGATGGGAAACCCGTGGGGATTACAATTGAGATGAAAAAAAAAATGTGCAAAATGATGTAAAAATAAACTTTTTAATAAAAAAAAAAACTTCTACTGATATAAATTCATTTTGAAGTCATTTACATAACCCCACAAATAACCCTATAAAATGTGATAGTTGCTGACTAAATTTAAAAGGAAATCTTCCCTGGTAAGGTACCTGATTTAAATTTACTCTTAATTTTTTTTTTTAATTTAAAGTATGAAGTATTTCTCAAAGAAGAATATTTCACACAAAGATCTACATTTAACTAGGATAATACATAATATCCTATCACAATTTTCTCAGAATATCATCTAAGCATTTGATAAAGACAGATTTCAAGATAGATTTCATTTAAATAAGGCAGGCAAGAAATGGAAATTTTATTATCAAGTTATATATTGTCATGTAGCATTAAAAATCTAAAAGGCATTAAATTTACCTTACTAATATCCCAACTTACTGCATTTCCATGTATCAATAGTACAATTGGTATGTATGTATGTATCTTAATATATACTGTTATAGTTGGTAACAAGTTGAAAGGTCTCACATGAAATTTCATTTACCTGGCTGTGCTCCAAACTTGGAAAATGTCTTTAGACAAAATTCTTCTGCAATAAGCTTAGAATGAAAGAAGAAAAAATGTTATTAAAGATGTCAAATTTCGAAGGTAAAAATTCTACTATTAATCATTAAACATTCTTTACCCCTTTCAGTCACAACTATACTGCCAAATGAACTGCACTAGTTAAATCCTAGTAATCCATTCACCAATTTCCTCTGACTCAGACTCCATCTACCATCCTATCAATTTCCTTCAATTACTTTTCTAGATAGGTTTACTTCTCAAATTAACATGTTACATCAAACAGGGCGTCAGGCACATTCTGCCTGTTCTGTATCTTAGCTATTGAACAAAACTATCCCGTCTGGAGTAAACTGGAGTAAACTTTAATATTCGATCTCTCATTTACTTCAACACTACAGAAAAATCACTTGATTATCCTTTTCTCAGATCAACCTCTAAGTTATTTTAAACTTTACATCTTCGCAGCAACTCCACCGAGTTTTCACTCTTACTAAATATAGTTGTAAACATGTAACTGAGCAAATACTTGAATATTTCTAGGAAATTTTACAAGTATGTCCAAACACTAAAAGAATGCATTTATAGTTATTTTGAGAAGCAAAAATCATTACCATTTCCTACAAGTAATATTCTTTCCCCACTCACATTTCCCATTCCACCCTGGCCTCCTCTTAAGCACAAAATTATGAATGATCCAACAAATATCATTTTAACTCAACACAAAGCTGTTTTTCTTACTGGGTTAAGGAAGAATAAGGCAAGTGAATCTGCTCTTCTTTTTTCATGAGAAAGTAGGCCTGGTGGAGAGAACATTACCACGGTGGCAGTGTACCAAAAGCTCCAAACAAACAAAAACACATAACCCAAGGTATTAACATCTTCATTAAAGACCCTTCTGAGAGTAATTTTCCAGGTCTCATACCAGCAGAATCAGCATCACCAAGAATTTAATATGTGAATTCTCAGGCTCTACCTCAGAGAGCTACTGCAACAGAAATTATAGTGTTTGAACCCAGCAATGCTCGCCAGGTGATTTTATGTATATTTAAGTTTGAGAACTATGACAGAAGAAGATGAGAGACAAACTCTGGTTCTCAGGCAATGATCTGAAAATGTTTCTCTCTAAGCATTTTTTCTTTCTTGCATTTTTTTCTTTCTTTTTCATGAGAGAAAGTATTTTATGACCAATATTGGATAATATATTCCATTGTTTGAATGTGATTCTTTCCCCCTGTGGTGATACAAATATTAGTTGAGAAATGTAAAATATTTTCATTATCACATAAAGTTCTATGGCATAGGACAGCACCAAAGTACTACAGAATCAGAACTTATCCATGAATTGTCAGGTCACATCCAAGGAGACATGTCCAAGGTGTGTAAGACTGAGAACTAGAGCTATTTACTTTGGCTCCAATGAGAGAATTTAGAGACTAAAAAGAAACTATAAAGTATATTATGGTGATAGTGGAAATAATAGCTTATACATTGTAGTAAAGCTCATTGTTTCAAAGTTAAATCTTTAAAAAAATTATAGACTTTTAAATTATAATACTAAACAAGTAATATAAAGCAGACAATAAATCTTAAGATAAAGATTTTTTAAAGAATGAAATCTAAGTGGTACCTAAATAGCAAAATGTATGCATTAAACATCCGATGTCAAATACTCATCTGTTAATAATAACCTGCCCTTCTTAGTTTACATAAGTTTTATTTAAATCAGGCTTGAATATTTTTCTTTATTGCTGGATAGCTGAATTCCAGGGCTTTAGTCTTGAGACTGTATGTCCTAACTAATAGTATGAGGGAAAGAAACCTCAGCAAGACTAAATGAACTCATTCATTCTTCTTCAATAGCTGCCAAAACAACAGCATATAGCATCATAAAACTGTCCTGGAAAATATTATAACAAAGGAGCCTTATAAAACACCCACATTAAAGAGATTGTAGCTATGTCTTATACAAGTAAACTTTAACCTACAATTTTTAATTGGCTTACAGGATTACTAACATGTACTCCCAGTGACAACAGTTTAATCCATTATCTGTTCTCAAAGATCATTTGTTCACATGAATGGCCTGTCAAGTTAGAAGATATGACATTTCTATCTCTTCTCAAGTGTATATAAATAATAATAAAAGTGTGCTTTTTCTAGGTAGAGGTGGATGGCAGTAATGGCCACATACTATGAGGAAAATATTCAATACCACTGAGTGGTATAAAACAGTTAAGATGATAAATTTTAACTTATGCATATTTTACCACAATAAAGAAAAATTGGAAAACAGAAGCCTGAGAGAAAGAGGAATGATTCTATGATGTAGTGACTTATAAAAATATATATACTTGATCTGTGTCCCATTCCTGGCATATAACACCTAAAACCCTCACGATTTTCTATATGGTAAGAACATACAATTGTCTTTCCTTATTCACCCGAATTTATACTAGCAAGATGACTTTAGGGAAGACCCTAAGGATGGAGGCTGGTTGCCAAGTTAGACAATCATGTGATCAGAGGACTGGAACTCCCTGTTTCACACATTCTCCCCTCCAGAAGAAAGGGGTTGGAGGACAAATCAATAGCTGAAGGCTAAAGACTTAATAAATATGCACTCAATCACCTAATGAAACAATATAACAAAACTGAATGGATGGGGTTTGGTGACCTTCTAGATGGTAAATATGCCAGAAGAGTGGCAAGCCCCAGTTCTATGGGGCACAAAAGTTCCTGTGTTTAAGACCCTTTCAGACCTTGCTCATATGTTTCTTTATCTATCTCTACCCTGTATAACAAGTTATTAAATACTAAGTAAATATTTCTCTGGGTTGTGTAAGCTGCCCTAGTAATTAATCAAGCCAAAGGAAAAGGTCATGGGAACCTCTCATTTATAGTTGGTGGTTCAGAAGCACAGATGACAACTTTCTCCTGTGGCTAGTAATTGAAATAGGAGCAATCTTGTGAAAGTATCCTTAGCCTGCTGGATCTGATGCTTCTTCCAGGTAGAATGGTATCACAGATTTGCTAGATGGGGTGGAGAAGTATATTATTACACATTGGGAATCAAAAGTGCCAAAAGTGAACTATTAGGTATTAAGGCGAAACACAGAGGAGGAATGGTTCTCTTCCTACAGACAACAAATGAAAAGCAAATAGAAAGTAGAAGTATATAAAATGGAAGTGAAGGTGAATCCAGTATCTTAATAAGGCACTTAATATCTCCAAGGTTCTGATAAGCTCTCCTCAAAACAGGAGATTATATCCAAATTATGCACAATAACCTAACTCTTCAGAACTGAAAAAAACGTACCTGAGGTGAGAGAAACTTCTCAATGCGTTTGGCCATAAAACCTTTCTCCAATATGGAGTTGACTGATGGTCTATCCCTAGGATTTCTTTTAAATAACTGAGAGAGCAAGCTGCGGAGATCATAAGAATAATGCAAAGATACAGGTGGAAAAGATCCAGATATTATCTTCAGTACCAGATTTTTCATACTGCCAGCTTCAAACTAAAACCCAGAAAATAGATTAACATATATGAAATATACAAATTGAAAGTATGATAACAACAATGAAAAATCGTTCTTTTCTTTTTCTATCAATATAAAAGAAAAATACAATCCTCTTCAAATATTTTGACGAGCATATGTACTGTAGAGCAAGGTTCACTTGGTCATAAACATTTAAAAGAGAGTATCAGTCCTCATTAAATCTTATGACTCACTTTTTACTTATTCAAAACACTAAAAGAATGAATTTATGTATTAAAGATTTTATAAAACGACAATAGATCAAGATGGTAAAACAAATTTAGTGGTTGTCCATTAAGACCCATCTTCCTATTGCAATAACTAGAGCAAAAAATTACTATACCAAAAGTATTTGGGAAAATAAAAAAAGTATGAATTAGTTTCCTTTTAAATACTACTTATTGTTATTATTTTTAAGTAAGTGATGCTTCCAAAAAGCCATGGATCAGCAATGTGGCAAATATTCCAAAGGTGGAAGACAAGCTATACCAGTGGAAGGCTATGTTTTATGATTAAATACAATATATTCTAACTAAAGTTAAAAAAAAAAAACAAACCAGGAGAGGCAATTTAAATATTTAAAGATTTCAAATTCAAATGAGTTCAACATAGAGAAGATTACAAATTGATTGCTGTCTTTGAAAATAATTTTCTGGGGAAAAAGTATGGTATAATAACAAATATATGACATACATCATCTGTAATATATAGTTTCTGTTAAGGGAAATCCATTTAAATTTATACTTTAGAAAAAATGAGGAAATATCTTACATGGCAGTGAATTTCTGGTGGGCCATCAAAAAGATGATATATGACTTTTAAGAGAATCTAGAGTCACTTTCTGACATAATTTTTAAAATGTCAGAAAATTCTACTTACTGCATGTTTAAGTGTACACATCTCATAAAGGACACACCCCAGGCCCCAAATATCACTAGAAAAGAAAAAAGTGAGAAATTTTCTCTAAGAATCAGAATTAAGTTTTAACATTTAAAGGAGACAAAAGTAGCAGAAAATGCTTTTGAAAAATGCTCATAAAGCATATCCTTTAAAACTTAAAATTTGAACAAGCCAAATGTCAATTCAAAATAATGTCTACTTCACATTAGAAACAATGGTTTTCTCAGTAATTAAAGTTCATAAGGAAATTTAATATTTAAAGAATGAAATTAGGAAATTTCAGAGATTTTCCATTTACGTATTTTATTTGGCAAGTCAAACTGCTTTCTTTAGTTATTTGCAAAATAACTTAAAATATGTAAAATAAAAATATGTAAAGCAAAATACTGATCAAATTAACATGAAGAAAGTATTAATTTGCTACAGTTAAATCTGAAATAAACCTGTGACATCTAGTTATTATAGAATACATTTTATTCTATTCTTAAGAACATAGTTATACAATTTTCTTAAGTCCTCCTCTTGTTTATCTTAAAAAACACATTTCCATAATAAAAAAGAATTTCTATTCCTATTATTTTCCAAGATTATATTTATTTATTTTTGAATAGAAGAGCTAGCCAGAGGTACAGGAAGGTGAGAGGATTCACCAGAGACACAGGGGGACCAGAGCAGGCTATACTGCTAAGGGGACCCCTAGGTCACCAGAGAAGCCACTTTCTATTTCTAAAAGTAAAACAAAATCTCATCATTCACAGGTATAGTAATCAAGAAAAGTAAAAGCCCCTGATTCTGAAAGTTGAATTTAAAGGAGGAGAATTAAACATTCTTGAAATCCTAAAGGTTTTTTTTGTTTGTTTTTTTAAAGATTTTATTTATTTGTGCATACAGAACTTGGGTACAGGCCAGAGGCTCAGGGGTGGTGAGAGGCTTCACCAGAGACAGAGTAGCAAGCAGAAAAGGCAGATCAACGAAGTACACTGCTGAGGGGAGCAGCGGACGGGTCAGGAGAGGTCTGCCGTGCCATGTCATCACCTCGGGGCAGGTGGGAATCGAACTCATGCTGCAGTGGCTTTAGCTTCTCAGTGCTGTGCTTTAACCTGCTGCACCACCATGGAGGGCCATCCTAAGGTTATTTTTACCCAAATTCTGATAAAAAATTACAAATATAAATTTATAACTCCCAAGTCTATTTTATATCAAGATTGACCTGAGGAAAAGTATAAATGTAATTAAGCTATTTAGGAATTATATGTGTTACAAACTACAGTAACATGAACAGAAACATTAAATTAATGACCCTAGCAATAAAGTACATTTAGAAAAATGTGAATTTCAAAGTGCAATTGATGATTCTCGTGCATTACATTTTTAAAGTATTTTTTCTACAAAATTTATTTTATATAAAAACCTCTAAAGGATAATTAAATCTATTCCTGATGTAATTAAAAAAAAATACAGAAATTGCTTTAAAATGTAAAATTATTTAGCTAAAAGAAAATGTTATTCCTTCATAACACCCACTATTAAATATGCACACATATAGAAAAACAAAAATATACCTGCAAAATTAAAAAAAGTTCATGAACTAGATTGATCATTATAATTTAACTTATTTGTTACAATACAATGCTATAATGACATTCTTTGCTTCCGTTGCTCAGGTTTGATATAGCTTTCTTCTCCCAATCCTTAAAAAAAAGGAAGGAGGGGTCAAGGGAGAGCAATTGCAAACATATTCTTCACTGTAGCTACAATATTCTTTCTTTGGCTTCTGAATTTTTCAAAATTCAGACCAATGTTTCTTGTTCGGGATTCTTCAATTGGAAAGACTGAGAGAAAATAAAGGGTAACCTATTATACAATCTGTAAGTCATAAAACAGAAGAGCAGTTAGGAATTCAGGTTTGAGAACTAAATGACTGGAACTCCGATCACTTTACCTCTCTTTAATTTGGTTTCAATAAGGAAAGGAGGAATGATTAATACCTACAGTTATAAAATTACTGCAAAAATTAAAATAATCAACACATAAAATTCAAAACAGTTATTATTTAATAAATAATAACTAATAATAATGATTACAATCAGTAGGAAATTACTATTAAAAAGATAAACATCAAAGAAAGCACTTGGTTTCTAATTATATCTTAAATAATAGGGCCCTCCCTGGTGGCACAATGGGTTGAAGTACAGTACTGTGAAGCTATCCCAGCTACTACAGCACAAGTTCAACCCCCAGACAGAGAGGTGACCCACATGGCGCGGCAGACCTCTCCTGGCCCGTCTGCTGCTCCCCTCAGCAGCATATTTCAGAACATCTGCCTGTTCTGCTTCCCATTCTGTCTCTGGTAAATCCTCTCACCCACCCCCTGCCCTGCACCTCTGCTTGTACCCCAGTTCTGTATGCATAAATAAATCTTTAAAAAATAATAATAAAGTGATTCTTTCTATGGTTACTTTAGCAAGATAAAAAAATCTATCGTTCCTTCTGCTTCTTTACAATTCCCCTATGTATTTTCAAAAATGCAAATATACAAGTACATATACAAATACATACACATATATTTATATTTACACATACATTTATATTTACATATGTTTATCATTTATTTTAGAATAGTATCTTGAAGGTTGGTAAATGTACTATAACAGAAACAAAGGAAATATATTATGTAATGAATACTGTTTTAAATACCTTTTATTATTGTAAGGTTTGTTTTCACAGATTTCAGGTGACAAGTAGTATGGGGTCCCTATGTAAGTTCGAGCCAGTTCTGAAGTACTAGATCAAAAAGAGGATTATTGAAGGAAACTTAAAGATACTATCAATCATCACATATACAAGAAAAGCTCAAAATGGATTAAATTTTTAGTGAAGAAAAGCTTAAAATTGATACGTTACCTATTAAGAACTCTAGCAATTCCAAAATCTCCAAGTTGTACTGTCCCATCTTTGGTTAAAAAAATATTCTGTGAAAGAAAGTGGGAAAAATCCCAAAATATTGTTATAGTCCACTATTGAGTTGACAACGTTTTAAAAAAAAAAATGAATACTGTTAAAAAATGATTGGATAACCAGATCCATCTGCAAAAGAATGAATAAAGATCCCTATTTCATGCAATGCCAAACATGGATTCCAAACCTAAATGTGAGAAGTTTCATTTTTCTAGTGTATAGCTTTATTATAAACTAGAGGAAAACATAGAAGGAAATTTTCATGCTATTGTATTAGTCAATGGTTTCTTATATATGACACCAAAAACCAAGTAAAATAATAAATAGATAAAATAGGCTTGATCAAAATTGAAAACTTCTGTGCATCAAAGAAAACCATCAACAAAGTACTGAATAAACTACTCATAGAATTGGATAAAACATCTGCAAATCATATATCTGACAGAGTTTGTATCCAGAATAAAGAATTCCTACAAGCCAACAATAATAAAGACAAATAATCCTATTTAAAATAGGCAAAGGCACATACTTTAAGTTACCATTAACATAAAAAGTCCACTACAGACAAATCTATAGAGCCGAAAAATAAATCAGTGATTTCTGAGGTCTCAGTGGAGGAGGGTGGATAGGAATTGACTGCTAATAGGTACAAAATTTCTTTTGGGCGTGATAAAAAATGTTCTGGAGTTACAGAGAAGTGATGATTTCCCAACTCTGTGACCATATTAAAAATCACTGAACTACATTTTAGGTGGGTAGTTATTTTATATAAAGAAGTCAATAAAGCTGTAGAAGAAATGAATCCAGATGTCCTCATCCAACAACAAAAAATAACCTGTCTAAAATTCTATTGAATAAATAGCTTGAATGTAACAATTCAGCCTTAAATTTTCCCAGTGATTTATCCAACTATTTCACATTTATAAAAACAAAAGTATACCCTATGTGAAACAGTGAAGCCAAGAGTTTGTGTGAAAACACAAATTAAATTTCATATCACCAAAGGCTCAACAACTAAAGATTGCATTGACTGGAATGGAGTAAGATGGGTAAGTGAAATGAGATTAGGTACCAGAGAGTGAGAGGAAGAAGAAAGATGGGTTAAGAATCTCCCACCATAGCTCCTCTTCTTTCCACTACTCCTGGGGCTATTAGACTACATAGGAAATTTCAAGCTTAGTGAGGTAAGATGACAAACACAAGCCTTGGCACCAGTAACTGAACACCCTTGGCACTGCCCACTCTCAGAAATCAAAGCCCAAGTGAGCAACCAAGAAACCTCCATACAAAGGTAAATGAGCTGTGGAAACAAAGCTTCCTTGCCATAAGAGTCTGAAAAAATATGATGGTACATAACACAAATAAAAATAGCCATAATATAATCAGAATAAGAATTCACACTGGACAGAATTTCTTTTATAAAACAGCCCAAAAATTTTAAATATTTAAGCATTAAAAACAGATTGGTATAAGATACAGTAATTCCTCTCCTAAATAAGGTACCAAAGAATGCAAAAATACTAAATCAAAGGGACATATGCACTCCTGTGTTTCCTGCAGCACTATTTACAAAAGCTAAGTTACGGAAACAACCTAAATGTCCAAGAACAGATGAATGGATAAATATGTGGTATATTTACACAGTGGAATATCACTTAGCTATTTAAAAAAAGAAATCTTGCCATTTGCAACAGTATGAAGAACTGGAGGGGGCTATGTTAAGCAAAATAAGTCAGAAGGGCAAAGACAAATAACCAGATGATTAACTGGTAGAATATAAAGAAACAAAGCAAAGGAAGTGACAAAACCAAAACAAACACTAGAAATCTGCCTATAGCACTGAAGGTGAAAGGTAGGGAGCCAAATGGCTAAGGTGGAGTAATATTGGGGTTTTGGTGCTGTGAATGGAAACATAACATTGGGTAAAGGTGTAAGCCTATACACTAAGTCATATATAGTGTGGTAAATCAATGTTACCTCATTAAACATAGGAAACATACATGTTAGAAAATTTCAGAGGTAAATATCCATTTAAAGAGAATAAGACATTACGACAAAACAAAAATAAAAATGTGTATATGAAATACACTTTAGAAGGAAATTGTAATAAAAAAACTGAGATAAGCACTAGTTTACATAAAACTGAAAAGGGATTTAGTTAACTGAAAAGCAGGTTGAGGAATCTAGAATGCAATTAGAGAGGTAAGAGATCAAATATGAAAAACACTTAAGAAACACAAACGGAAAGATCATGAACTCTAATACATACTAGAAAATACTACAAAGGACCATGAAGATAGTGACAGAGAAATAACATTTAAAATTAAATATTCTTTAAAGGCAATATACATACTCAGATCAAAAGTATACAGCATAATGAATAAAAACTGAACCTCACCAATGCAAAATTTCAGAAATGAAGAATGAAGTGAAATTTCAAACAATGAAGACAGAATATCCTAAAAGCTTCCAGAGGGAAAAACAATAATAAGAAAATCATAAATTCTAAAATAGATGCCAAAAAACAGATGAGCAACAGCTTCAAAATACAGTAAGAAATAGTTATAAACTTCTAATGACCTGAAAGTTCATAACTAAATTATAATTAAGGTAAGAAACTGGAATAAAGTTATATTCAGACCATAAAATCTCAAAAAAAAAAATACCATCCACATACCAATTTTTTTACTTTTTTATCATAATGATCAGTAAACCAAAAAAGAAGGAAGTGAAGGAAGTAGGAAGAATATATAAGACAAGGTGAAGGGATCTCTAGGACTGAGTAAAGGGGAGACAGTGAAGGGAGAAAAAGGATTACCTAAAGTAGACTGAATAAGTGAAAAGTGTTTGGCCTAAGACTATGCTGGCTCCATATCCATACCCATTTATAAGTTACTGGAGATAGAATACACATACCTGTGATTTGATGTCTCGATGAAGAATTTTTCTATCATGTACATGTTTCAGAGCCAAGCATATCTGTACAAACCAATCTAAAATCTAGTGGGGAAAAAAAGCAAGTAAGTCATTTCATTTGACCCCTAAAAAGATCCAGGAATATGTGGGTTAAGGGTAAATAAATCCTTTAAGAGGATTTAAGCTATGAGTTTAGTTTTAATTTGTATCCACTAACATTATGTAGACAGTCACACCAACTGCCACAGTGTACAAAGAGCACACACTAACTTAAAATGTGAGACTGACGTGAAAGCATTTTTGGTAAATCAGTATAAATGTAGGAAAAAACTTCCAAACAAGAGTGAAAATAGAAATAATGTATATTTTTTAACTTTTTACTCTTATTTCTTCAGTTCTATTTTTTAAAACAACAAACATTATAATTTTACTTTAAAATAATGCAATCTTTTAAAACTAATAGTTTTTAAAAAACAAGTCTGTCAGTTCAATTCAATATATATTTACAGAGGATGACAGTAAACATGAAACTTTGTTCTATATTTACATAAGGCACTGTAAGTGGAAAAATGAGTTCAAACTTACAGTGAGTTGAAGTTCATGTGGTGTTAGACATACACTTATAAGCAAATATCCATAAATAAACATATTTTATAAAAGCAATATGTACACTGAAAATACCAATTAATTCAATCAGGGAGAAGTCAGGAAAAGCTACAAAAAACATTAAGTGAAAATTAATGTCAGTGGAGTGTTCCCGTTACGCAGTCTCCCTGCAGAGCTGGAATGTATCATAGAAATCACCTATGCCTCATATTACAGATAGGGTTCAAGCATTACAATATTTTTCATACTGGTACTCCTTTATAATTTGATAAAATATTTAGCGCCAACCATGTTCTTGATAGGTACAGAAATTGGCAAAAAAATTAATAAAGTGCTCACAGATGGGAGTCAGTAAATTTACTCTATAAGTATTTTAGACATTGCATTCCAGACTACCTGTCTCAACTTTAGCACCCTAGCATAAAAACAGCCATGGAAAAAATGCTGAAAAATGAATATATGAGAGTTTTAACAAAATTTTGGTTATAAACACAGTGGGCTGAGTTTGACTTACAAGTCATTTTTTTGCCATCTTGTGTCAATTACTGTTGAGGAAGATAAGTAAGTAAACTAAAGGGGCAATGCTCTGAGAAGGAATGGAGTACAAAGAGCTAAAAAAAAAAAAAAAAAGAAAAGAAAAAAAGAAAAGAAAAAAAGAAAAGAATGGGCTTTTCTGGGATAATGTAGCTATTAAAACTAATGTAACTGAACAGGCTGATGTGTAATAACAAGGAAGATAAATTATAGGTGTGAAAAAAAAGACAGTATGGCATATATAGCATTCCATTTCTGAAAATGGGTCTTGATGTAATTTATATATACATGCAAGTACGAAAAATAAAGTAGAAGAATATATCAAACTAAAAACCATGGTATGCTTGGGGGTGGAAAAGTAGGGAAAGAAGATTTGCCATTTCTGAACTTTCTAGTACTTTTATAACTTAAGTTTGTAAAAAGAAAATCTTATGAACTTTAGTATCAGAAGTAGGCTGAAACAATTATATTATTTTGTTCATGTTAATCAATGTCTCTTGGCTTTCTTGTCTATTAAAGAAAATTACAATTCATGAGGTTATAAGAATTTAAAAATAAATCCTAGCACAATGTTTCTTCCATCCCACTATGTAATGCATGGAATTAAAATTAAGAATGGGTGAGAAAGAGAAATGCAACAGTTATTTAGAGAAGGAAAAGATCATGTAAAGTTAGTTATGCAAAATTTAAAGAAAAACTTGAAGTTTTGTTGAGCCTTATATAAGGGTAGATTATTAAAAACAGAGAATTGGTGGTAAGATAGCACCAAAATGAAAGAAATAATAGAACATAAAGGAGAATAAAGTGTAAAAACATGTGTCCCAATGTCAAACACAAAATAAAAGTTCAATAAATACCTACTAAATAAATAAAAAAGGGTGTAAATTAAAGGCTGGAGGAAAAAAAAAACAAGTTAGTAGTTAGTAACTAAAGAGTAACTAAAAAAATTAGCTAGAAGAGTCATATTTTAGAGACCCTTGCAATCTAAGCAGAGATCAGATTTAGTGCTGTTTGCCAATGCAAGACATCTTGAGATTCAGCCAAATTACATTTTAGGAAAATATGATCTGGTAGTAAACCAGAATAAAAGGATGCAGAAAAATCAATTATAATAAATAATGAAGTTATATACATAACTATATGTTGAATAATGTATATGTATACCTACACACATAGAATACACTGTTATTATATACATAACAATATTATTATGGATAGAAAATCACATAGGGAAGGGAACTTACATAGAAACTAATTAGAATAGAAATATGACAAAATGCTAGAATATGATATCAAGCTGTCCTAATAATTACAATTAGCACTGGTAATTACAAATAAATGTATAAACAAACACTGAACTGCTTTTCGAAAGTATTATGGGGTAACAGTCAATCTCTTAAATGATAACTCACCTGATCCTCTTGAAACAAAATGCCTTTCTGAGCATTTATTCTTTTAAACAGATCCCCTCCTTCACAGTAATCCATCACTATATAGAGAGAGCCATTCTCTATAAAATATAAATATTACATTCACCTTCCAATCAAAAGAATAGCCAAACAAAGGCATTTAAAGGTTTACTAAAGAGTAACACTTAATTGGGTTCTATTAAATGAAAAACAGAACCATACTCAGAGGTGTGTTAAGTCAAGGTTTAGAGGTCAGATTATTATACAATAATTTAGGTTAACAGTCAATTCCACTATCAATGATTTTTCTACCAAGAACACATCATCCTATTTGTTAGCAATACCTGCACTGACCTAACTATCTCTGGAACACACATAAAATGCAGACAGACAATTTCATTAAACAGATTTTCCTTAGATGTTATTATTAAACCACATTTTACCACCAATTTGTTAGAGATGGGTTATCTTACTTTCCAATTTACCTTACTTTAAGTTTTATTTTATCCACTTACATCCTTGTTAGACAACTATAGTAACAAATGCTGTAATGAAATTGGAGGATTCAACCATATATAAGATTGCCTCTGTTCTCTCAGTTTCTTTGATCTCACCTTTTAAAATTATACATCATGTGAGGAAACATGAAGAGCAAACATGAAGACCAAGGCATCTTGGTCCACAGAGAAAGACACTTTTCCTGCGGTTAGACAAGACTAGACAGAAGCCGAGTCCTTGTTTCCACTGTTTAACCTTCCCAAGTAAGGAAGAATAGCCTGTAACACATCTAAAAATTACTAACCCAGTACTTACTGAAGATCACTGCAATTCAAAGAAGAGTTTTCCTAGTTCATGCTTACTACCCCCTGCGCTTATAGCCTTATTCCCAGCAGGATTTATTTCTTGAACCCTCTAGGGGTTCATATATCACCTTTATAAAGTGTTTCTAATGTGTCATGGATTGGGAACCTACATCATTGAGATAACTGAGAATCTATATGATTCTTTAAGGTTGACATGGAGGATCATCCAAATATGCTTGAGAGAAATTACAATGTGCAAATTGAACAATCCACTATTTTTTTAAAAACATGTATAGGATATTACTGTTTGTGTAGCATAAGAAACAAAAAAACAAATCACATGCAGTATACTATCATTTATGTATGCTTGCTAATGTTTAGGCTATTTCTAGAAGGAAACACAAGATAATCATAAAGTAGTTAACCCTAAAAAACAAAAAAATGTAGCTCGAGACAGCAAGGAAAACTTTTTACTAACAAATAACACTTGAATGTTGCACCATATGTATGTATCAAAAAGTAAAACTGTAATTAAAAAGAGAGACAGAGAAGGTTTAAAACAGAAGATGTGAAAGGGAAAGGGAAACAATTAAGGAAGCAAAATGTTGGAGTTTTAGTACACTGAACTCTGTAATGTTATCCACCTAAAATATTTATTTATTTGGGGAATAAACACTTCTTAAAATTTAACAAAATCTTTTCTCCATAAAGAAAATATTAATCTATTTTATCAGTCATTCAACATCTGAGTCCCAACTATGTGCCAGACACTTTCCACAAGACGCTAAGAATACAAAAATATAGGACACCACCCTATCACCAGTGGGTTCACACACCAATGAATAAACTAAAAAAAAAATTACATTCCCTTTACATTAGAATTGATCTAGCAGTAAGAACAAAGGCCAAAAAACTCTAAATATGAGTTATAATTTTAGGACAAAAGAATTATTTTTACCATATCAAAATGTGTAAAGATCAATTAGTAAGGAGGAAATATGAAAATTGGCATTTTTAAACCAACTTGCTTACTTTTAAAAAATGGCAGATGTTTGCACTTATAGGTTATTTTCCATCAGTTCAGGAAACAATTAAAAATATTTGTGTTTTGGAGTTCCTTAAAGCTATGTGAGAAACTAAAGAGGTCAGAAGTCCAATCTTAGAGAAGCATCAATTCATGAACACCTACTTTCTAAAGATCAGAATATTTTCTCAATGGTAGCACTTAAAGGGGAATTTAAAAAATGCAAACTGCTGTTCTTGCTTGTACAAATTCTTGGACCTACTACATGGTTTCTTTTCAAGCCATCTTAATAGTACGTCAGTATTAAACCACACAGAAACAATGTGGTATTGTCAGTATTATCCTAGAATCAATCTGATACGTACAAAATATATTTACTGAAACAATAACAATATTCTTTTCTTGTTGAGAATACAATCACAAAGCATTCCTTATAAAGAAGGCATACAAAATTTGTCATATGATGTATAAGTTCTTTTCCACACCACTGCAAAATTTATCTGACCTTCAAATGATTCTTTATACTGGACAATATTTGGATGCTTCATGTTAGCTAATACTGCAACTTCTCTCCTTGATTCTTCCCTTTCTTTACTGGACATCTGAAATGAAAGGAGAAAAGAAAATATTAAATTAAATGATTCATACAAAAACGTGTAAGTCCATCAATAAGAGAATGGTCAAAAGACAATGACACCAATAAAGCACAGTCCAAATACAAAATACAGCCAGAAGTTAAAAAGAATGAATTGAACCACATGCTAAAAACATTTTACGATATTCAAGCTAGATACATTAAAAAACAGTAGATATTTATAAATAAATAAAACATACACAAAAAATCTGAAAGAATATACAAAATATTATTAAATTAGATACTCTCTCTGAGGATGATAGCAGTTCTTTCACTGTAGGTTATGTATTACCATATATTTTTTATTCTCTAACAGTGAACCCTTTCATAAGCTACTACTTGAATAACCGAAAGATAAACATACTTACTGTTGAGATATTAATTTCCTTGATAACATATTGTCTGTCATCTTCTGTAGATTTAACAAGGATGGCTTTTCCAAATGAACCTTCTCCAATCTTCTGTATTCTAACATATTTCTCCATGATTTTCCCTAAGGCATCTTAACATATATGCTAGATATTTAAAAAAAGACAGATAACAGAAATAAAGCATATCCTCTATAATACTTTTAATATGATTCAAACTTAAAAAATTATATTCAAATCTTTGACTATCTTAATCTTACTCAAGCAATAGCTATAGCTAAAAAGAAAGAACCAAACTGTGATATTTAATATTCTAAGAATGTTTGGGAAGTCAGATACCAAAAACACTTAACACATTTGGAGAGCAGAGGGCAGCTTTTTCCTAAATGTATTAGCAGCAGTATTTTATTATCTTCAGTAAGAATGCAAGTATAATTAGACTATTGCTAAAGTTAATCCAGTCTTATCAGACATTAAAAATGTTTAGTGTGGCCCTTCCTGGAGGTGCAGTGGGTTAGCGCACAGCACTGAGAAGCTGAAGCCACTTCAGCACGAGTTTGATCCCTACCCCAGAGGTGATCCACATGGCCCACCCACTACTCCCCTCAGCACTGTACTTCATCAGTCTGCCTGTTCTGCTCCCCACTCTGTCTCTGGTGGGTCCTCTCACTGGCCCCATACCTCTGGCCTGTATCCCAGTTTTGTATGCATAAATAAATAAATCTTTAAAAACAAAAAGTTTAGTGTCTGGATACTACAAAATAATTTCAGATAAAATTTCTGAATATACACCTGTATTATTATGAGGCTTCCCTTAGAATAAATTCTGAGTTCAAAGAATATGACCATCTAGGGTTTTCAAACATATTATGTAACTATCTTACAGAAATGCCTACTAATGCTCTATTCAGCAGTGTTGAAGAACCCACTCCTAGGTAATCTTTAACACTATTATCATTTATTAAAATCTTTGATAGTTAAAGAGCACTAAAACCGTAGCAGCAAGGGATCTGGGTTTAAATCCTAGTTTTATCATGTTATGCGACCATGGAAATGTTACTCATCTTTAGCTGCTTCAGTTTGTTCAAAATGCAAAATGTATCTGCAAAATGCAGGTAACGATCATGCCCAATTATACACTGCTAGGAAGAATAGTTAATTTTAGTAATGTACTGAGAATGGTACACATACAGACACAGTGAATCAGTACTTGTTGCTTTTATCACTTGTTACATTTGATGGGGGAAATGGTGTCTCCATTTTATTTGAATTTTTGCTGACTAGTGAATTCAAAATATTCTTCCACATTTATAGAACAGTTGTATTTCTGTTGAACTGTTCATTCATGTTCTTTGTCCATTTCCTACTAAGATAGTCCACTTTTCATTAACTTATAAAAATTATTTATTTAATGGAGATCAATTAGACTTTATAATAAATGCTTTCCATAGATGCTGATTTGCCTTTCAATTTTATTTAAATATAAAAGCTTACTCTGATATGAACAATAGTAATTCTTAAAATATAATTCTAACTGGCATCATACCTAGATATTAGCAAAAAAAGGATGATGGGGACAGACACCAAAGTACAATATGTTAGATAGTGAAAATTTAAAAATGTGAAAGGGAGCAGAAAGGAAAGAGGAAGAAAAAAGGGAGAATTAAAAAAGCAATCATTAGTAGCCTAATGGCAAGATCACCCTCACTGTGGAAACACAGGAATCCCGTATGTTAATCTAAAGTTAATAAATATTTAATTTATCTAACTTGTCCTTTTCCATTTCCACTCATAACAAGCAGGCTTTCCGGGTATGAATCTCTGCCAAGAGCAAATGGGCTTGTCATTAAGAGTATCTTAAAATTTCTATGACTAGGTACTGTATTTCTCATTGTAAATCAACAAACCCATATCCGCATTCCATCCATCAATACTAAATTAATTCAATTTCACTTTGCACTTAAAAAAAATTACCCACCCTTATATGACAAAATTTGTATTCTGTGTCTATATATTACCAGGAACCAACCTGTGAAAAAATTAGGAGAGTATGCCTTACAAAATTCTGTGGGAAAGAGCTGTATCTACATTAGAAAAAAACTGTAACCCTTTTCCACTTCAAAGCCTCTCTAAGAAATGACAAGGCTTTTTAGCAACTTCAAGACAAATAAGAAATTAACTATTACTTTGCATCATCAGTGAATTAAAGAAGGAAAATCATTTCAAACATTATTTCAAGTTTGGTCAACTGGAATATTATGACTATGTGGGCACCAGCAGGAATTTAATGATCTCCCGAGGATATGAAAATGTATTATATTACTATGCTATTTAGGAAAAAAATCAAACTCACCTTAAAAACTAAATTTCACAAATCAAAGAATAATCACATGCGATTATTTCACAAACATCACAATTGGATGTCTTTTTGCCAAGAAGCAGAAACAGTATTAGTAAATGTGGCCCTGCCTCATAACTTATTTACCCATAACAAATTGAGGGACCACTAACAACATGGAAACTTCGAGTCCCTAGTATTCATTTTACTGCTTACCTCATTGAACCACCTCAAAAGAACTTCTGTGGCCAAGCTCCATAACCCCTACTAAACTTCTAACGGTAACTTACTGCAAAAACCTCTTTTCCTTGAAAACAGGCTCCTCACCTTTCAGTCAGAACAGGGACTCAATGGAACATCTGTTAGAGCCGCTTAATGCTAGACAAATCTAAACTTGAAACAACGGACTATTTCTCTCTGTACCTGGCTCCCCTCCACCATCTCCACAATACTGCTGCATCACTATTAGCAATTTTGTACATTTTTTAACTTCACAAATATTTCTAACGTAACTGACCATGGCAACAAAGTTTTCTGCTTTCTGGGAAGGACTTCAGAGAATAAAAATTAAACCTGTATAAAATAGTTATAACGAATTCTGAAACTAGTCGAATTTTTAATGGAAATGTTTTAAATAGTGAAAACTATAGCATAAGCTATTAGGCAAACAAGTTAACTGCTACTCATTATCTAACTAAAACGTACATGAAACTTCATCTCAGAGACAACAAGAAATGTAAATGAGTCCTTATCCGTATCAAGATTTCTATTTTCAATCCCATTACCACTCTAGCTTTTTAAATAGTATCCAAGGATTGCTTCCTTTGTAGTACATACTGTTCCTCGGAGAATTAAATGTTAGCAAAAGATTCTAAAGTGTTAGCAAAATGAAGATGTTTTCCGTGCACTTATGGTGAGTATCGTGCAATCTCTCCCGTCAGCTAGGAGGCTAAGCAAGGTCTGATTATTTTGCATGTCATTGCTTCCCCCCGTGCAACTCACCTCAATGACAGTGGGCGTTAGTAGGAATAACGGTGATGATCAGTGAGCATCAGTACCAATGTAGCAGTCTTCCTAAAGGAATTCATGAGGCAGAGGCATATCCGCGCTTTTAAAAGGACATCCTGAAAGAAAAACTGCGCCTTCTAACTAGCAGCAGCTCCAACCTAGTCTGAAAAAGGGAAATGAGCAGACTCCCACACCTGACACCAGCCTCTAGCTAAACCTCACTCTACATTCCGTCCCGCCTCGGGCAACGCCCAGAGAGACTAGTCCACACTACCTGGCCGAAACAAACAAACAGTTTCCCGAGCCCCGTGGAAACGGCGGGCAGCAGGGGGAGTATCCGGGTTGCCGCCTCTCCAGCTTCACAGAGAAGATTGCTTTTGGCCTCGGAGGGGTCGGGGCTGGCGGTGTTTGGAACAAGGAGGCTCCCTGACTGCCACGTCCTTCTGCCTGGCAACGCCTGCTCTAGATTGCAGGCAGTGCGGAGTTCTCGGGACTCGGGCTCAACACTCTGCACCGTAGCACCCCAGAACCCTGGAGCAAATGCAGGAGGGGGAGCGGCCAACGCGTCACTGGCGCTGGCGTGTGACGTCAGCGCGCGGCAGCCGGCGTGCCATGGGGGTGGCTGGGAAGGGGGCAGGGCGGG